GGGGTGTAGGGGTTGTAGGGTTTAGGGTTTTATAGTTTAAGAGTCGGGTTTAAGGTTTAAATCGGGTTAAGGAGGGCTGTTGGGCTTGGGGCTTCTGCGCCGGCATGTCCGGACTCTTGATTTAGATTCTGGGAGTGTACCCATAAGGCCGCATAGTAGTTCCTTTTTGGGATAACCTTATAGGATTCTATATTAGAACCCCCAAAAAGGAACTACTTTAGGGCCTATGGGTAGATTCGTGTGTACCTTTTTTGCGACAGGTATGGATGGGCTGTGCCTGTTATTTTCTAGCATGCCAGTTCGCATGGAGCCATTGGGTTCACAGAACATGGGCGCGCAAGGCTTTTACATCGAATCAGCCGACTTGTTTAGGGTTAAGGTTTTAGGGTTTAGGGTTTTAGGGTTCATGCTCATTTTAAGGCTAACTTCACTAGATTACGCCTTGCATGAAGGGCCATGTTCCCAAAACCCCGAACCCTAAATCAGACCAGGATTTCCCCTTAAGGGCTCCTGTAAGGCTTCCTGTAAGGTTGCTTTACGGGCTCCTTCTATGGGTTTATGGGCAGAGACTAATGCCCGGCGGATATGATATGGCTTCTGCTTCACCTGAGATTGCACCAAAGCAGCTCGGAGACCACTTGTGGATGCTGAGCTGCGGCTGCTTTCAGTTTGTTTTAGGGGCGTTTGGGAGTCGTTTGGGTTTTATAGAGCGTCATAACTCACTCCCTTTTGGGGCACCCGCTTTCTCCTTTTTGTATAGAAGATACTACGTAGTTGTAAGATACCCTACTCAGTATAAAATTCGGCACCTGGCTAAGTAGCACTGCGCCTACCCAGGAGCTTCATCATGAGCTCCAGCTGTATGCTGCTACTCAACAAGGCAGTGGCGACATTCGTGCATGATCGCTTCAGCTTAATACTGGTCCAGTCAGTCACCTCCGTTCTGATGAACTTTCTTGGAACAAGCCTCGGAATCTTCCGCGAGTTGAAGCCTTTCACAGCGGACGCTCGGTATTCGAGCCAATGTACACTTTCGTGATGGGCGTGGGATGACGTACACAGGTACATCATATGTATATATATGTATATACACACACACATGCATAGATATGTTTGTTAGATAGTGATATTCTAGTATTAATTCGTATTTTTATATGTGCGCCCCTATAGAACCTGAGCTAGCTGGGGGACTCAGGACATGTTCCGACTGTTCTTACCACCTTCGCTCATCTTCTTCTGCATGCTTCTCACCTCGCTGATCAGTCTGCCGCAGGTGTCCGTGGCGACAGTCCTAGTGGCACGGTCTGTTGGGCTTTGCTTTGTTGCGATGGGGGAATATTTTCTTTTCAGCAATGCCAAAGACATGGCACAGAAGACTGGGCTCATGATTTAGGATTTTTACAGTGCTTTTGGGTATCTGTCTGTAGCATGAATGATAACCTGATAAGCATTTCTTGCATAACCGGCCTATATAATTAGGAAAGTGGGGCTTGCCATCATAGTGGTGGGTGCTGGCATCTATGGTGCAACGGACGTCACGTATGCCGCACAAGGATATTCCTGGCTTTGCATAAACTCGCTGCTCAACATTACGTGCCAACTCTGGGAGAAGCGTGCGATTTGCAAAGCGGTCAACCAAACTGCCGAAGGCCTTGCTATAGTGCAGAATACGCTGGTGATCCCAATTGCCTTGTCGATGCTTCTCTACACGAAAGAGACTCCTATTAAGACCATCTCCACTGCACCGACCAGTATACAACTCTTTGTCTTTCTCTCTGCGACACTTGGATTTCTGATAAACTTGAGCTACGTGCGGGTGAACCTGAGCTTCCAGGTAACCTCCATCGCAGTGGCTAGCTCCCTCAGTCGTGTTGTGGCCTTGCTGATTGGTTCAAGACTCTTCGGCGAGGCCATGACACACATTCAAGTATTTGGCGCTTCGGTGTGCCTCTTCGGTTCCGCTGTTTACAGCAGCGTCCCCGTGAAGCTTGCCTTGCCGGTGACATTGGTGGCGCTGGCCACTGTGCTCTCAAGAGCATGTTTTTTTATTGAATGGCCGTTGCCTTACCAAGCCTCCAGCCCGTAGACCCCTAAACCCTAGACCCTAAACCCTAAACCTTAAACTTAAGCCTTAAACCCTTGACCTTAAGTTGGATTCAGCCTACAGCCCTCCGCACCTAGACCTTTTCCCAAACCCTAAGCCTGCATCGTAAGTCCTTGCGTGGGAGGCCCCTGTTTAGGGGTTTAGGGTTTAGGGTTTAGGGTTTGGGGCCTAAGCCTCAAAATACGGTAATCCTTCTCCATAACCCGTGAAGATGCGAGATCTAGGCATGCGGAAACCTTGAAACCTTAACATTGAAACCCTCAAAAAAAAACATTGAAATGCCCTTATTAGGTGGGAGTTCTCGGGATGCAGATGGACGGTCTTCCTCTTCCATACTCTTTGAGTCCTGACCTCGCGTTACGCGTCGTGGAAGAAGGCTCGGCGAAGCTCTGAGCTTCCCCGTGGTCAGTGGTTTAGGTTCGGGTTTCAGGGTTTCAGGGTTTAGGGTTTAGGGTTGTAGTTTTTCAAGGTTCAGGGTTTCGGTTCGGGTTTCAGGGTTTCTGGGTTTCAGGGGTTTGGGGGTTTAGGGTTTCAGGGTTTAGGGGATTAGGGTTTAGGGGTTTGGGGGTTTAGGGCTTCAGGGGTTTAGGGTTTAGGTTTTAGGGTTTAGGGTTTAGGGGTTTAGGGTTTAGGAGTTATATAGGGTTTAGGGTTTCAAGTTCGGGTTAAGGATTGCTAGGCGTCTCATGCAGACTGATATGAGGATGTGGCTTGTTATGACTGTACTAGACAATCCAATCATGTCCCATCTCGGTGTTTGGTTTAGGGTTTAGGATTTAGGGTTTAGGGTTTTAGGGTTTTAGGGTTTAGGGCCTTAATAATTACCTATACTATTTTGGGGTTTCCCTATGATAGTTATATTATAAGATATAACCCAAAACCCTATTCTAATGATTAAGGCCCCTACACTAGCCACGAACAGCTATGGAATCTTTCGCCACAAGAAACGGCTCGGACTTAAGCTTTTCCCATCCTCGGCTCCGGCAAAAATCGCAGTCGCAGTTGGAATCTGTCCGTGAAATCTGCTTGGCTTGGGTGCGTCATGCTGCATCCTGGCTTTATGCTGTGCAAGGGTTTAGGGTTTAGGGATCAAGGGTTTAGGGTGTCAGGTAAATCTGTCGTGCCGATCAGACAAACAACACAGCGAGCGCGATCACAACCGACACTCCCGCAGCCTCTACCACCATGACAACAGTGAGGAAAACCCTTATTCCGAAGATTGACCCCAAACCCCACAAGCCCTCAACTCTAAACCGTCATTGTAATCATCTTCTAACACTCCGTAGAAGCCCTAAACCCTAAACCCTAAACCCCAAACCCTAAACCCTAAAACCCTAAACCCTAAACCCTAAACCCTAAAACCTTACACCCTAAACCCTAAACCAGAAGTCTGGGAGGCAACGAAACAGTGGTGGTGGACCTGGCCATGCAGTCTCCGCCACTTAGTTCCCCAATACCGAACCTTTAAACTTTTTGGGCTTAGGGTTTAGTGTTTAGGGTTCTTATAGTTTAGTAGTAATCTGAAAGTTTAACCTTTTATTGCCCTGGCTTATTGGCGAAGTACATGAGGCCATGTGCGCGGAGCAAGCTGGACTCACTGGATGTGACTCTCGGACGCTTTCCTCTGAAGCTCCTCGACCAACAGGTATAGATCATACAGTGAATCATACGCACACATGGGGCACATATATGCATATACACATCACATATTTGAGAAAAAGGTCCTTATGCCTGCGAAGATGTATAGCACAGTTTGCCAACTTGCTTGTCATTGGGTTGTCAGGTGCCGCAGGGTCTGTGAGGAGCGTTGATTGAGTGAGTTCTGCTTGGGCGAATGGCTCGAAATGCTGCTTCCCCTTAAACGCCCTTAGCCCTACGTGGGGGTTTCTTAACATCACGGGTACTGTAGTCGTATGTAGAGATCGTGCCAGTTCTCAGACCCGAAAACCGAGACCCCGGAGCCTAAACCCTACGCCATGTACTCTACCTGTCTAGGGGTTTAACGATTATAGGGTTTGGGATTCGGACCGAACAGTCAGTCTTGTCCCTAAACCCTCCGGATCCATATGGGAGTTTCCGAAAGTAAGGGATACCTTATTTTGGGGTCCTTATAATAAGGATCCTACTATTTAGGGTACTGTATTAGGGTCCCTGTTTTCGGAAACCCCCATATTTCAGGTATTGCTTCATGCCTCCACGAGGACGTGCCTCCCAAGGTTTTCTTGAGGCCTATCAGGGACAAACTTTCGGAACCCACTGCCTGTAAACGTTCTAATAAGACCCTACCTTAACCCGAAATAACCTACCTTTTTGAGGCCTTCTATAAATCATAATAAGGAGCCCTAAAAAGGTAGGTTCTTTAGGGTCCAGGTAAACCCTAAGTTCCATGTGTTGGGTTGAGGAGTTTGGTTTAGGCTTTAGGGTTTAGGGTTTAGGTGTCAAGGCTAGCTATGGAGGCCTACAGTAAGTACATAGGCGAGTCTATTTGCATTGCCCCAGCCATCTTGTCTTAGCCATCTTGTCTTATGAGCCGACAAACACAGAACGGAAGGCTTCTATTGAGGGTATCTGCTGGCGGTTCTGGTACCCTAAACCCTAAAGCCTAAAGTGGCCGAAAGGCTAAAGCCTATGATCTGAACCCTGGACCATACACCCTACACCTTTGTTTTTGTAGTGGCTCGTTACGCCGACGGCCGCTCACAAGTGAGTCCCTTGCATGTGCGAGCCCGATGTCGTGTAGGCTTTGGGATTTAGGGTATCTAGGTATTAGAGTTCAGGGGCCGGGCATACTGCCCTCAGCAAATCTCAGAAATCCCCTAAGGCCCCAAGCAGGCTCCTGCCTCCCTGACAGGGTCCGCTCTCGAAGGTTGCATGCTGCTCCGGGCAAAAGGATGCGAATGCGTGCTTCGACAATTTTTGGACCCACGACAGGTGTTGCAAAGATGCCGAGAAATCAAGGCAATCTGAACTTGAAGCCTTGTCTTGCGCGAAGAAGATGCGGAGAGCGCTCGCCCAATGTATGCTGGACGGGCGAAGTCTCGGCGGCTGCAAGGTGCAAGGTGACGTGTGCCAATGCCCCGCGATCATGTTCAACGCCCAGGCCTCGGCGCACAAGGTCAATGAGCTGAGCAACGACTTCAACCGTGTTCTCTGGTGTCTCACAGACTTCAACACCACGTATGTCATCGACCATTTCATGGCCCAAGGCCATACGGCTCATGTTTTGGCACACGGGCTGCAGGCGCATGTAGAGCATTGGCAACTGGGAGGCTTCGAAATGCAGGCCCACCTCAGCCAAAATGCTGCTGACAGCCTCCAGGCCTTCGGCTCAGCCCCTCAGCTAGTTCAGCTCATGGAGGGTCGGAACAATGTTGAAATGAAATAGGCTTCGATGGTTGAGTATACCATCATAAGTATACTATGATGGCCTGAGAAGGAATAGTACTGGTAAGAAATATCAAGCTTCTACATTTCACTTTGTTCAGAACCGGTTCTGTGCACTTGAAGCCACCAGCTGAAAGTGCACCAGCGGCTTTTTCCAAGCTGCACCCCAAAATCCCAAGATCGTCTTGCAGACCTATAAACCCTAAACCCTAAACCCCTAAACCCTAAACCCCTAGACCCTAAACCCTAAACCCTAAACCCTAAACCCAGGTGGTGCATACGACTTCTGAGCAATGCACCCAAATACAAGCGCGGAGCGGCCAGCACTCTCTGGTCATCACTGGGCGTGCACCCAGGAGCGAAGAGCAGGTTTAGGGCTCAGGGTTTAGGG